ATTTAACTTAAGTTCGCCCGACTCCTAGGAGATATTGAAAAACACTTTATAACAATAGGCTGAGCAGAATGGATACAAAGATACACTGTCGAGGACAGAAGGTGAATACCAACGAGGATCCCCAAGGAATTGGTGGATTGGAGGATTAGAAGGAGCAGTTCTCATTACCTCGGCTCGGACGTTCGTCCAATCCGATCCCTCCAATAACTCTCCTCTTCGCTATAAAAAGGAAACAACAAAAGGATAGTTACAAAAGGCCAACTACGATTGTGAATAAGGATGGAAAATAGAGATCGAAGTTTTTATAACAATGTATCGGTAGCATAGATGCATTGAAATATCCATGAATCGTCGTTTTAATGATATAGATTTTAAAAATCAAGTTTGATTGAGTTCAATAAACTGATTGGTATTCATCCCAAAATGTAATTTTAGTTTAAATACAGCTAGTACTAGCGGGTCCAGGAGAGGATTCGATTCCCTTCTGGAAGATGGAACAATATTTTATCATGAAAAAAGTAACTAAAGAACGGCAAAGTTATTATTATTATTTTAACTAAAAAGTGAATTAAATTAAACAATCCACTTTTATTTGTGCTTTGTACTAAAAAAACAACTAATAATTTAAAGATCATAAATATTAGAAATAGAAAATATTTATTTCTACATCTCCTTCATAAATTTCAAAAAGGCCTATGATTCAATAGACAGGCAAATATTGCTTGAAATTCTGAGGGAGTAGACAAAAAGACAATAAGCGTGATGAAACTGTCTCTGACAAATGTTAGTTCAAAAATAAAATTCCAGGGACTAATAAGTAAACTTGTTTAATTTAGTGCTGGACAAAACAAAGAGAATTTTTCCGGCAAAAGGACGAGACAGGTGCAGTGATAGGAACAAAGAGGAAAAATGTGAAAGTAAAGTGTCTGTCCTTAACATATGACTTACGCAGAAATAGAAGAGGATGCCATAAAACAGGTAATCATTCTAAAAGATATAGCCCTGAAAACGGCACTACAGATCTCGTATGAAAAGGCATAAATTATGAACCCCGGATTTTTCAAGAAACTATTGACGGACATTAGCAAGAAAATATTGAACACAAAATATGGACAAATAAAAGTAACCACAAAGTTTAAATACCTATGGAAGATAATGTGTAGCAGCGGAACGGATAGGGCGTCCTTGGAAGAAAGAATAGCCAAACTGGAACCACTAGAAACATCTACAGCAAGAAAAATTTGTACTCTAATGCAAAAATAAGGCACTATGGTATGAAAAGAGTCAGCCTCCCGATCCTAAAGAAACTCCTAAAGGTTGAGTGAAAAATTCTGAGGAGGATTCACGGACGCAAAATAACACAAGAGGGGTATAGGCAAAAATACAATGAAGAAATATTTACGGGATTTTAGATTAAACTAGAAAATTTTTGACAAAGACTACAGCTATAAAAGTATGGGAGAATATGTAAAACAAATGAAAGATGAACTGGATAGGTTCAAAATCACGGATAAGGACTGCTTGGATAGACAGATTTTTGTGAAAAAGCTAAAAGATGTTGGGGTTCTTGTGGGGAGGAGGGAGAATATGGACTAAGGAAGAGCGAGAGGAACAGTCCAAGAGGATGAAAGAGTATTGGAGTGGAAGTCGTGAATAAGAACAAGATATGATATTCGCGTGGTCCTTGCTGGCCGATTCGAGTAAAAAAAAAAAAATCTTCGTTTACGGGTGAAATATTTGATAATTGTAGCTGGAAGTAGCTGCTAGAGTGTTTTAATACCTTGGAAATAATTTTTTAATTAAATTTATGGAAAAACTTATGCAAAAAAGTCATGTTTTAGGTTCATAGAAGTCTATTATCTAGTGAAGGAGTTTTGATCGTCATATTACCACAAAACAATTCACTTATTCTCTCCCCTCCATCCTCCCCCCTCAAACTCGGAATATGCCTGAATCTGCCATTGATACTAATATATCTTATAAAATTGATTTTTCTAGTTAATAATATTTTTTGATTCCAGATCTTATACTTTTTTTTAGTATTCTTATATTTATTCGCACCTGTCAACTGTTATATGTAGTATGTTGACAATCAGCAAATGAGAAGACAAAGAAGGAAATAATGACATGTCAGACCTGGGGAAAGAGAATACTCATTAGCACCTCTTCCGGGATTGATACAATTACTTCGATTTATTTATAAAGGAAAACTCCCAATCAGTGCCTTATTAAACTATTTTTAGTCTCTTATTCAACTATTTGTATCTCCATTTTAATTTGTATAAAATTCGTGGTAAAGGGCATTTGATAAAATCTGGCCAGGGAATTCTCTTTAAACTCAAACCTATACTATCTCGCAATATCATTCTTCAATCTTTCATTTTCGACAGGTTTTTTTTTGTTTTTTTTGTCCGACATGACCTGGGAATTTCCTAAATTCGACCAGTATCACCAGGAGTACCTCAAGGATCTATATTGGCTCCTTTACTCTAGATTACATATACGAATTACAAGCCTACCACCTTCGAAACATTGACTGCTAATTATTATATTTTCAATTTTTAATTTATTGCAAAATTATGAGAAAAAAAAGAAAAAAGAAATTACCAGTATTGTGTTACCTACATCGGAATTAAATTTGAAAATTCAATTCATCAAATCCTTTATATCTCAAAATGCTGGATGCCTAATGAATAATATTACCTTAATAATATATACTTACTTGATACTTCGAATTCAACTCTATTTTTATTGAAACTAATAAGTTGCTACTTTCAATTTTTTGTTTAAGCGTTGAAATATTTTATCTCAGATCAATGAATTCACACATTTAATAGACATAATATGAATATTAACTGCTCAATTTCATTTTTAAAAATTTTATTTCTGTAAAGATATCTAGTTTTAATCTATTAATAATCATTTAAAAAAAGCTTCGAAATAATTTGGCTATTTGTGTGGAACAAATAATGGAAGCAGATTCCATTATAGTCCCTATATCTTACATTGAGTCGTTTTGGAAAATTAAAATATTCAAAGTTAAATTAAAAAATAAATGTTAAAAACATTACGCAAAAGTTAGACACAGCTCAGACCAATTATCTTTATATGAACTTTCCCTGAAGTAAATAGCTTCCAGGATCCCATGAATAATGGAAGGGATCTACTTTTTGAAGTCAAACGTACTCACCTACTTCAAAAGTTTCTTCAGATGAGATCTTTAGAGGAAATGAAGATATCTTAGGCTCTGAAAAGGAGAACTTTCATATTTCATATCTCAATTCGTTAATGAACTTAACTTTTATTCATTCCATTCTAGAGTTGGGACGAAATCTAAGATTTGACCTAGGTTTAAGTAAGTTCCGAATATGAACATACAAATATATATTGTGAAGCACTATTGTACATGTCAAAGATTAAGCAATTTTTTTATTTTTTAAAATTATTTTAAATGTTTAAGGTTTTTTTAAATTATTAAAAGGGAGATGTTACAACACCTTTAAGAAAGGATTCATGAACAAGCGAGAAGTGAGCAGGGAAACGAAAACGACTTTATACAAAAAAACTCCTCCCTATAATGTCTTACTCCAGCGAGTAATAGGCCCTTCACCACAAAACTCATCAGTCGGATCCAGGAGATGCGATATCTGCGCAGGGTCGAAGAGAAAAAATAGAGACCTCATAAGGAACTACACAATAACGAAAAACCTAAACGTAAGATCAGCCGAGACTGTAATAGAGGAAAAAAGTTTGGTCATGTCTCCAGAGGACGGAGTGGCAAGGATTGCGTTGGAAAGTAAAATTGAAGGTAGAAGACCCCAGGGAAGGCCCAGGAAGGCTTGCGAGGTCAAAGGAGACCTTTGACAGAAGAGATATTGACTGGAGAAGAAGAAGAAAGCTGGCACAGGATCGGGAATTGTGGAATCGGCTCTACAAGAAGGCTCCTCAGCGACTAAGAGCAAGTAGAAGAAATTATTTGATGATGGGCAAGAAATAGTAAAGGATTTATGGCAATGTTTATTAGTTAGTTAACAATATCAGTTGTGTTTATAATAACTGATTCCTTAGTGTATGATAATCTTAAAAATAAAATGGTAAAGATATTGTTGACGATACAACAAGTCGTCTGGTGTTGCGGCCATAAATAAAATTACTTACAAAGAAGAAGCCTTATTGTACTATGTGCTGACGTTTCGGGCTAAACTTTAGACCATTATCAGGACTAATTGAAACAAAATAACAACTCATAAGAAAGAATAATCATAAGGTTTTCAGCAACCCTAAATGATTTTTATTTTTAATCTACACTAGAAAACTAATATTCATGCTTAAATAACTGAAAATCTCAATTTGAAAAAAACAAAAACTAAGGTTTGTGCTTTAGACCACACGATAGAAGTGGAAACATCAACAAGGCGTGATTAACAACATGGAATATATATTATAAATAACAGCTCATTACAAAAAGGATGAAATGATGAACATTTCCACAGTAAGCAGGTCCCATCTTTAGTTTTTGAGATGTTTTGATCCATTTGCGAAAACAGTTCAATTAGTCGATTCCAGCCAACGTTACTCGACCGTTACACATCGAAAATCTGACGGCTTAATCTAGTTCACTCTCTACAAAAAAGAACCAATCGCACCTTAAGAAGTATTCACTTCAAAAATGAATAACTCCTGTTGAATTATAATCTAGTAGCCTCTTTGTCGAAATCAAACCAAGTAGAAAAAATCGAACATAAAATCACTAGTCCGGAAGTAAAATCCTGATTGTCGTACATTTATCATAGATATCATTATATATATATATATATATATATATATATATATATATATATATATATATATATATATATATACTATAGATACACATAGTTAGCACTACTTGAAAATTATTTTATGTAAAAAAAAGTTATGGAAAGCTAAAAAAAGTTATACGGATAAACAATACTATAACGTTGTTAATAACATCAATATTAAATAAGAATAATACTTACACTTTCCGAGAAAGTATTTGAAGTACCATCTGGTTTGATACTCTGGGTTCTCGAGGACTGGTGTACTCGGGGTCCCAAACATCTGGAAGTCAAGAAGAGATAATTAGTATTAATTGTAACAGTTAGTTCTGAGGAGTCTAATCGATCAACTTTACTCCAAGTCAACAGTTTTGTGGTTAAAGTAGTTTCAGGATCGTAGTACTGCTCCAAGATGTAATTTACTACGTATAAAGTCAAAGTTTTTAACTATGATTTTATTTATATTATGTAGAAAATTATATATTAATTTATTTTTCTTATTCATCTCAGTTGTGTTTCTGTTATGCATATTTTGTGCAATCCTATGGCTATTTGAAGATTGAAGTAGTTTTCTAATTAGAACAGGAATGCCGAGATTAATTTTGCTGGAACTCTACGAAATAGCATGAGCTGGCCCAAGAGAGAATTACAAACATGGGCGCTCTTCTCTGTACCGGGCGCTAGGAAACAGTTTTTGAGTAAATGTAACTATACTTCTGTCTAGAGCTTTATGTATTCTGGAAAGTTCTCAATCCGTCAACATGTAAACCTAATGAAAAAATTATATTACTTTTAACTTTGACGGAGAAAAAGGCCTTTTTGAATGCTTATGAATTTGGCCTTCAACAAAGCTGATACAAACTCGCCAAGACAAGAAGCTATTGAACATATCATTTGCATTTGAACAATATCATCAGCAATGTAACATTCTTATCGCCCTTTAATATAAGTTTTGGAGTATTTTATCATCATCCAATAGGATTTCTGACATTTGAGGTTAAGTCTATAAAGGAAGGAAAAGTGACGAAGTTCTTAGATATCGTTTTTTAGTCGTTACGTTGTCACGAGAGCACTAAGGCCCAAACGATCACTTAATTCTCAAACAAGGATTTTGCGTAGGTATGAGATATCGAAGGCCCAATATAGATATTGTCATCAATTTAATATCAGCCTATAACTATCGATACCATTAAAAATATTCAAATATCGATTGTCGATATTTTCATCGATATTATAAATATTTTTTAAATATGATTATCAATATAAATATTAATGCTCTAGCAGATAGACTTATCAAAATAGACGTTATTTCGCCTTGATGAAATGAAATGAAAAAAGCAATTCTTCAACCCTCCTTAGTAATATTATTTTTTAGTTGCTTTGAATCTTCTTCACCTTAACACCTTTTTCCATAGATTACCATTCCACCAATTATGATACTTGGATGGGATTTAGCGAAATGCTAGTTTATATGCATTCTGCATAGCTTTTTTTGACAATTCGTGGCATAAGTTTCATAAATTCTAACTAACGAATTTGGTCAAATTAACTATATTGAGTGAGAAAAGTCTCATGAGCGTATATGAGTATTTAATTCTACTTCAAGATGGCCATCGATGGTCAATATTATCAAAATATCGATATAATTTAACAAACAATAGTTTTAATTTTAATTTTCAAATTAAAATATTAAGATATTGAAGGGATGATATTTTTAGTAGATACTACCGATGGTAAAATATCAAATACCGTAAAGAAAACATCGATATTTCGATAATATCAACTGCCAGTGGCCATTCCTAATTTTGAGGTATTTGAAGATTTTCACAGCGTCATTCGTTGCGCAATGACAGAAAACTCTGACTTGTCCATTTCTCTGTGAATCATAAAACTGGAATAGAAAGAAAAGAGAGTGTGGGAAGGTGGGAGAGCACGAGAGGGGGCGTGAGGAACAGAAGGACTGATTTTATCATCTAGTTGAATATAAAATATCAGTTTTGGAGTGGTATTTTAATCAATAAAGTCATATCATTTGGGGTTTATTGGGGCGGGTGGCCGAGCGGGCTAATGCGTCGTTTGTTACTCGGCAGCCTGATTCCCTGAAGTTTGAGATAAAAAAAATAATTACGAGTACATGTCCCGGAGCCCTGTGGGACTTTTAACTCGGCCTAATCCCTCCACCCTCTTAGTCAGCTAAAAAAAAAAAAAAAAAAAAAAAAAAAAAAAAAAAAAAAAAAAAAAAAAAAAAAAAAAAAAATATTTAGCCAAAAACGTATAAAAGGAGAGAACAAAAAAATAATAAAAATCATTTACGTTTTATTATGTTACAATAAGAAAATATTATTTCATGTCATACTTTGGAAGTAATAAAGAGGATACTGAGAAAAATGTCAAAACTTTCATAAGAGAAGCGGAGCAAAGCGAACAAAAATGATATAAAATATATAATAATAAGTCGAGAATTTTACCCCAATAACAGGATCTTCGTAGACGGAAAATCGTTCTTAAGAGCAGACAAATTTAAATACACCGGATTCACAATAAAATCAATACCAGCGTAAACAGATCTTTCTCCTCTCTTTCGAAGGTATTGAAATCCCGAAATATCTCCGAAGTATTGTGTAGGGTTCTGTGATGAAGCTAGATATACTGCTACGAAACAAAAACACTAATAGCCCGTGGTACAGACCCTTTTTTATGAAATTATTAACATCTTGCTGAAAGTTAGATAGCTTCTCATCGTAATCAGCAAACATTTTATTTACGAAAATTCTCTTAATTGGGGTGTTATCAATTCGGAGATCCGTAAACATTGTCTATTTAATTAGATTCTAAAAACTCATGAATACCCATTTGCTTTCCACTTGTCATTGTAGCTTACAAATATTTTATTTACGAAAATTCCCGAAATTGGAGAGTTTTCAATCTGGAGGTCGTCAAACTTTGTCTAATTAATTATCTAGTTTTATCTCTGAATCCTACACAATAATTTGGTATTTTATTACCTTCGAAAGAGAGAAGAAAGCTCTGTTTGCGCTTGTTTTACACTGATGTTGATGTCATTGCGGATCCGGAGTATTTAAATTTGTCTGCTCTTAAGAACGATTTTTCGTCTACGTAGATCCTAGTCAATTGCGCCGTTTGGTCTCCATATAACCTCAATTAAAATTAATTTTTCATTTCGTACTCAATGTTTATCAGTATTTCAGTCGAGAGTGAAGAAATAAAGTAAAAAAAAAAGTAAAAAGGAATTAAGTTAAAATTTACTCTTAATATATATATCCAATGCATATTCAATAAAAAAATAAAAAAGAACAGTGATTCCTATTGGCTTTGATGACGAGGTGGTTCCAATCTGCAAAGTGTGACCCAGCCTCACCTGTAATCCGCATCGGACCAGGGCAAATATAATTACATTTTCAATTTAGCGGTTGATGAAAACCTCTGAGAAGGTCCTTGGAGGTAGACTATTTAATCCCGGGGTTAGCCAAGCTTGGGCCGGGCAGCAGCCACCTGGGTGTCGTCTCAAGAGCTTCCATTTTTCGCCTGATTTAAAGGAATCGTTCCATTCGGCTATCAAACTTTGTTTTAGTTTCTTAATAAGAAAAATAGAAGAAAAGGACAAAGGTATTTACTTTTTGTTTTAATTCTGTTATGAAGGATGGAGCTGACATAAGGAAAAAAATCAAGTTGCATGAAAATATCAAATAGATAAAATAATAACAACCAGTGAGGTGAAAACTCTGGCATTACCTAGCAATCCTTTCCAAAGCATTTGACGTACAAGCAACATCACCGAAACAAAAATTCTTTTATACAATATAATATATTCATAATAGATTATTCAACACAAAATTTTATTGGTTTTTTATTTATTTATTACATGATATTTACAACTGTATACAAAAAATACATCCAGTAAATTCGCACATGGATATAATGACATGAAATACATGTTGAGAAACTACCCATTGGTAGCACTCTAATAATATGTCTATATTAGGAGATCACGTGGCCATCTCCTTTTCAGACACCTCAGAGGGTTATCAGGAATTGAATAGGAAGCAAGGTTAGAAACAAGAGGGTCGGGATGGTTATGAAGTTAATTATGGAAGGATAGATATCTGGATTCGGCCAAATCGGAAACATATGGAACATTGAGGTCTTTATGGATTCTTTTATTTGTGGCAAAGTAAGGAGCATTGAGGATTTTACGAAGGATTTTGGATTGTAAAGATTGGATACGAGAGGAATTTGATGGTTTAGTGGAGCCCTATAGTTCAACTCCAAGTCCGAATAGATCTTATTATAATCATGTATATGAGTCGTTTGTAATTAATGGGAAGTTTAGAGCGTTTGTCCAGTAAGTGTTGGAGTAAGCGGAAACGTCGAGCAGTTTCTTGTCGTTTCAGTCTGGTATGAGAATTCCAAGTTAGACGTATGTCTAAGTGGAGTCCAAGGTATCGAATTTGTTCAACAGGGATAAGTGGGGTATTATTAAAGGATACTGTAGGACAAGAGAACATAGGTTTACGACGTCAATAAAAAACTTAAAGTAACAATTTACCTAATAAGTGATTAGTTCGCTCCAATGTCAAATATACCTCCGGTTTAATAGTTAAGAAATAAGACCTATATATCCCTGAACTAATCTATTATTGTATTCGCTCAAGAGAGTAATAATAAAACGGATTTGAAGGAAAATGCAAGAGTGTCTAGCTTTCATGGCCTTTGTATGGATTTAAACAGCGACTTGAGTGGAAGGCATCAGATATTAGGCGTAAATGAAATCAATTTTATTAAAGTTATGTTTAAGTTGGGTGGAAAATTAGTGTCTTAACAAAATTATAATCAGGAGTGAGCAAAAAAGATTGTGTAGCCTTTCTAATTTGAATGTAATTGAGGATGTATACCATTACATCGCTCTTTGACTGATTATACAAGAATATTTTAAGAAAAAAAATTACAAACCACAATGAACTTATTTGTCGACCAATAGTTTGAATATTCCAGGCTTAGCCTATTCCATTCTTCGAGGAGATGTCTTATTTTCTAATAATAATAAATAATAAATCCCTCATCCAACGCCTTTTTAGTCTCCTGCTCATGTTCTGAGGTATATCAGCTGTGGCCATGTCTCTTACTAGTCTGTTATTATATCCATCTAAATTTGTGTAAAATCGATGACTTATAATACCAAAGATATAATTAAGATTATTCACAAATTATTGTAACTATACTCATTATAGTTAACTCAGATAGAAATGCTCAACAATTTTATGA